TTACTAGCATTTTTTTCTCATATATATTTTTCAATTTTTTTCACAAGTCATGTGCATTGATTTCTTTGCTTATGTAATGATCGATATTGATATCCACCCACTGCCAAATAGTTCTAACAACTTTACTGTGCATTTTCTCTCAATCATCTTCTGATTTTTTAACGGGCTTTGCAAATTTTAATTTAATAGGATCATACAGATCTCTACAATAAAAAAGATCTTTCATCTTCGTCTTTCAAATTGAATAATTTGAAACTGTCAATTTAATCATAGTACTTATGTATTCGTTCATTCTAATTTACACAATTAATTTTGGACCACATATCGATAAACAAACCAGTCAACCTACATATGATACTACTTATTGGGTCTTGAACATGGATATAAGTAATTGTGTAAATTAAGATAATCCTAAATTAATTAGTATGAACTAATAATAATAATCACAAGCTAAATTGATGCACAACCGAACAAAAATAATGAGATAATAATGTCAAAATTAAATAGACACAAAATTTTACATGAAAAACCTTTCAGTGTGAAGAAAAAAATCACGAGTCAAAATTCGAATCAAATCTACTATCAACGAAAATAAATACAAGATAATCTAATGAGAATTGAATACATAACTTTTCTTTGGGCAGAACTTAAATAAAAAGTTAAATAAAATAAAATTTAAACTTTTTTGAAAAATAACAAAATTGCTGATGACACTGTTGATGTCAACAGAGAATGAAAACTATTTTTTTCTTCTTTCTCTTGGCAGCCACTCAACCTCTATAGTCTCTTCTTCTTCATTTTTTCTTCTCTTTCTTCTTTCTCTCTTTCTTTTGGGCACAGCCTCTCTCTCTTTTTCTCTGAATATCTTCTTTTTTTTTTCGTGCAACATACATATATATATATATATATATATATATGAGCTGCAGCCCTAATTCCTTTTTTTTTTCTTTTCCTTAAAATTATTAATTTACTCTTTTTTTTTCAATGGACTGGATCTTAACAACTTCAACTACATCAATGCAGAAAGTAGGTAGCTGCAAGCAACTTAATGCCTTTTTATTTATTACTGAATAATCTTGTATGGCTTCTACACAATTTCTAAATTGTACTTAGAAAATAAGCAGTGCGAACTACAGAGTCTGCAAATATTTGGTATACAAGAAAACCATATTAATTTTAATAGATTGTAATGCTCTTATTTGATAGATAAAGGATGATAGCTGATGGGAATGAGGACAAGATCATATTTCCTTCTCACAGTCACGGCAAAGGCCTCAGTCATGTCTAAATCTTCATAATTCATTCCTCCAGGGAGCTTCCAATCGAAATAATACAACAGTTGTGCCAACGGCAATATAATATTAGGCATTGCAAATGAGATGCCCGGACATATTCTCCTTCCTGCACCAAACGGAATGTATTCGAAATCCTTTCCCTTATAATCAATTCGACTATCAAGAAACCTTTCTGGGTCAAATATTTCAGGCTCACTACAATACTTTGGATCTCTCCCTATCGCCCACCCGTTAACAATGACTTTGGTATTTGCAGGTATTTCATACCCCTTGATCACGCAGTCCTCAGAAGATTCTCTTGGAACTAACAGAGGTGCAGAAGGGTGTAGCCTGAGTGTTTCTTTCACTACTGATTCAATAAACTTTAGCTCATGAAGTTCTGTTTCGTCCACGTATCCTTTCGCATCAAATACCTGCCTGACCTCGGTTTGTGCCTTTTTCATCAACCGTGGATTTTTCAGTAGTTCAGACATTGCCCACTCCACAGTTGTCGAGGATGTTTCACTCCCAGCACCAAAGATGTCCTGAAGCAGAAACGAGAAATGTAATTTCAGTCTGAGACTCTTGATAGAACCAAGACATAAACTTCGTCAAATAATTCTCAGCATAGTTCCATACACGTGATTGTTTCATTAAATTTTTTTGTCAAATAATAATGTACTAAAAAATTTTAAATGAAACAATCACGTTATGAAAATTACCTTCTTCCACATTCTGTTTTTTGCAAAATTAACCATCCATTCTAATTATTATGTATTTAACTAAATATGTATATGTTGGGTACTAACCAAGATAACTGCTTAGATGTTATTGTCAGTCAAGGGAAGATCACCATCTTGCTGAAAGTTTTAAGAGAACATCAACAAGATCTTCTTGCTCTGGATTCGTTGCTTCAGTCCTCTTTAGTCTCTTTTGTTTGTGGTCATTGAGGATGTCTCCAAGAATCCTATCACTCTCTTTATGCAGATTCTCAAGCGTAAACCTCAATCCACTCGCCAGCTCAAGCACTTTACATGAAGGGTACATATCGGCAAGACAGAAGCCTGATGCTAGCTCCACTCCTTTCTTGACAATTGAAACAACTGCCTCTTGGTCCTTCCATTTACCACCAAAGGCTGCTCGCGATGTTATGCCGTATGTCAACGAAAAAACCTTTTCACTGAGGTTGATAGGCAAACCTTCGCTCAAAGAGATAGTTTTGATTAGACGCGCCACCTCTTCTTCCCTGATCAACCTAAAAGATTGGACACGTTTTGGGCACAAAAGTTCAATGTTGCAGATTCTTCGCAGTTTTTTCCAATAGTCACCGTATGGGGAAAATATTATGTCTGTAGAGTTGTAAAACATTGTGTCAGAGGCAACAATACAAGGTCTATAAGAAAAGACGATGTCATGGTTTTTCAAGACCTCTTCTGCAATTTCCGGCGAAGAAATAACAACGGTTGAGACTTGGCCGAGCTGCAAGTGCATCAAGGTTCCATATTTATTGGCCAAGTCTCTCAGCGAGCGGTGTGGTAGTGAGCAGATCACCTGGTGTATGTTGCCTATCAATGGCAACTTCCATGGTCCCTGGAGGTAGCTTTGCAGCTCTTCTGTTTTTGGCTTTAGTATTCTTAACAATTTTCAGAATAAGAAGCAAGAAAAGGAAGGTAAAAAAAGTGGTGGAGAAGAACGATTCAAACTCCATGAAGACTAATTTTTCTTTGCTGTTATAATATGTTTCAGCACCTGTCTATCTAAAGATTTAAATAGTCCTTGGCTTCAGCAGATGTGCTTTCTTAACCTTTTGACTCTATAATTATGCTTTTCCATTTTAGATTTGATGAACTATCTTAAATAATTTATTTAAAATAATTATTCTAAAAAAATAATGATATGTTGATTGATATTTTAACATACTTAAACCATCCAATTAAAAGTGTGAATTATAAGTAAATAAGTAAAAATTAATTTTTAATAAAAAAATAGAACACTGAGATATTATTTTAAAGAATTGATAAACTAATCATCTCAAAAATTTAAAAGAATTTAATTAACTGTTTAAATTACTAGAAACATTATATATATATATATATATATATATATATATATATACACACGCATATTAGACACACGTACATGGATACGTACAACTTGTATCTGTGAATCACATGACCCCTCTCACTTTTTAGATGCATGATTAATATTGAAGTGTATTAGTCAATATTGTTGACTTTCCTAGAGTGGTCCTGTAAGTCATATCCCACTACAATTGGATTAACTTTAGACATAGCAAGAACTGGGTTTTGATTGATTTAAGTACGTATTTTGTATACAGCAGATTTGTTAATTAATTTTATTATTTATATTTTGTTTCAGTATTCTACGTAGTACAATATTACTAGTTGTTAGGAGAAAGATGGTTGATACCTGTGTCCCGGAAGTTCATCCCCTTCTGGTTCTCTTCAAGGTCTGCCTTGCCTTCTCCACAAGCTGATGAAAATGAATGGTAGGAGAAAAAGTGTATGTGTTTGTAGAAGCCGAAAAGAGAAACAAGAAAACTTGCCTCCCGCTTTGATGTTCATGGAGTCCACAAACATCTTTGCACTTCGTCCTCATAATAATATCCAGACCGCTTGACAGAAACAATCATCAAACTTTTTTTTCTCTGGAATTTCGCATGAACCATCAAAAGATTCCATATAACAGAACCTACAAGGATATCAATCCAGTAATAAATCAGTATAAACATTGTTTAAATATGTAAATGACAGCATAAGCTTCACAGAGTTTCCTTCTGACTTCTTTTTTCTTTAACTGCAACTGAGGTAAAGAACTATAAATGGAAACTAGATGTATACAGAGAGTACAGTAAGTACAATTATTGATGTGTTAATGCACTATCAACTTTCATCATAATAAATTTTTTTTATTATTTCCTTACTGTTACCTTAAATTTAAACATGCTTTAAATTTTGTATATTTTTTTTTCTATTTCGCTCTTTACTTTATGTGATTGTGAGTATATTAAGGATTTATTTTCTTAATAAAAATATTTTATTTATTTAATTTTAAAATAAAAAATCTTTTTTATACATCGATAGAAGAAATATTATTTTATTTATAAAAAAATATTATATCATATCTTAAAATCGTAAAGTCTCTGAGAAAGAATTCTCTTGAGATCCACCCAAGTTTAACAATACGACACAATTCGCCATATGTCATCCGAGTTTGAAATTTTTAAATAAATAAGTTGTACGATTGTATGACTAATAATTGACAGAGATATATTCTTAATATGATTAAAAGTATGAATCATGTACAAACACATCAAAACTTATTTGAAAGTTTTAAAGTTAATTTTTAGTGAAAATACAGAAAACAAAATCTGAAAAATTAAACTCTAATTATAATATCAACTTAAATAATTAATTAAACTAATTATTTTTTTTTTTAAAAAAACTTCATATACATACATAAATAGATATATATAACTTGTTAGGTGGTACATGTAATCTCACATCTGATCCCTCGCTGGAATTCGTTTGTCTCTGTAAATCACATTACCTCTTAACTTAAGAGATGGCATTAATTGGATTATGATTCATTTGAGTATGTATTTTGTACAGTCAGATTTGTAACAGATGAACTAACAATTTTTTTTAAAAAAGAAAAAACTGTGGACTCCATTTTTTAGATATAATTTTGTTATATATTTTATTTAAATATACTTTATAGTTCTATGTATGTATTTTTTGTTTTGTTTGCCAAACTTGTAATTTACTCGTACGTTGTTGTGCATTATGTATATACACATATTTATACATTCAATTAGCACTAGAGCACCACAAGTTATGGTTTAAATAATTATATATATATACATAAGTAATTTAGGCAAATGCTGAAGAAATTATTTGAGAGAAAGTAATAGTTGGGACTTGGGAATAAATTGTGATGTTCTAAATGAGAATGAATATATTCAAGAAAGGTATCATGGAATTTCTTGGTTACAAAATCAAATTGAAAATGGTTAATTTGCAAAATGTTGAATCATTTAGTTTAATTTTTCTACTATATTTTATGATAAATTAAAGCCAATATTATATTGACATGTCTGAATATATATATATATATATATATACTAGTTTTTTTCAAAATATACTTCAAAAAAAAATGAATAAACTTCATACTTCCTAGTTTAAAATGAATTGGCTGCCTCCTCCAAAAAGAACCCCATAAACATCCAACCACTGAAAAGTACTCTAAAGAATCTCTAGATTGCAGTTCTAAGAAACACATGCTCATAAATGGAATTACAAGTCAGGAGTGAAATTATTCCAAAAATTTACATGGTAGTATAACTTGCCCTCTCAAAATGAGTTCCACCAACCATTTATTTGTGTCTTCCACGTCTCTTTCTTATGTTACTTCCAGGAATTTCTCACCCTCTTTGGACTTTCTCAACTTCACCAACTTTCTAATATGGAAATGATTGTTTATCCTTGTCAACTTCACCAACTTTCTCATATGGAAATCTTTGTTTATCTTCGTCTTTAAGGTTATGGTTTCCCTGATCATTTTGATGGCTCCTTTAACTATTATATATGAAGACAGGCAATGAACAATCTAACCTTCCTCTGGAAACAAATGCATTCCTTAGTCCTTTCTCGGATCCAGACAACAGTTTCCTCAAACATCCTACGTAGTTTATTCAAACCCAACCAAGTATTAACTACACGTCGAGCATGGCAAGAGATTGTTCATGATCAAGCATACGCTCGACTCCTCTACCTAAAATCTGAGTTCTATAACAGCCAAGAAATGACCTGTCCATAGATGCCTACCTTCAAAAACTTAAAACCTTATATGATTCCCTCATCTATGTAGGTCATGATCTATCAGAAGAAGGCCTTGTGTTTCAAATCCTTAAAAGCTTACCTATTGATTACGAAAACTTAGTCATTAGTTTTAGGTTCGCACAAACCTATGTCATCATTTGTCGATTTGTGAATACCTCTTACTCATAGGAAATACGTCTTACCAAACACTAAAAAACCAACTTCCACAATAGACCAGTGATTGAGGAACCAACTTATAACATATGTTATTAATATTTAAAGACAATCCATCCATCAAAGTGAACACTTAAAAATAAACAATTAATCATTAACAAAAGAAAGAAATCACTGTTTTATTTGTTTTTGCTGGCTTTGTTGGCCCTTTATCACATTTTGTGCTATTAGTTATATAATTGTCATATTTTTCTCACATTTTTCTGCTATATTTCTTTTTAAAAAAGAATGGTAAGAGACAAAGTGTATGTTTTTGTGGAAGCTGGAAAGATAAACAAGAAAACTTGTCTTCCAATTTGATGGTCGTGGAATTTATAACATCTTTGCACTTGACAGGCTTCTCTTCATTCTCATATCCAGACCGCTTGACAGAAACAATTATCAACTTTTGCTCGGGATTTTCACACGATCCACGAAAGATTCCATATAACCGAACCTACAAGGATGTCAATCAAGAAATAACAGAGTAAACCCTAATCAGTATAACATTGTTCAAATATGTAAATGACAGCATAAGCTTCACTGAGTTTCCTTCTCATTTTTTTCTAATTCTAGTAGATGATACTTGTTGGGAAGAAAAAGAACTAAGAATATGCAAAAGAAGAATTTTTTTTATAGGATCCGAAGAAGACATTCTTAAATCTTTTTCTCCATGTCAAATAAAATCATCCAAATGACATAAATGATGAAAAATGCTAAGGAATTTATAAATGGAAAATAAAATGATATTCCGCAACAGAAATGAAGAACTATAAATGGACATCCAATGTATTTGAAGTATA